GTTTGTTTGCAATCCTTTGGTTTTTTTGCAATCCTTCGGATCTCCCACATGTCCCAGTTCTTCTTCCGAGCGCCGCTGGATGCCCCAGATGTTCATTTGAATTTTCCAGAGCCAATCATATCATGACATCCTTCTCGTCCGATTGGGGACTTTCAGAGGCTCATCGAACACTCGCGCTGTCCAACGTCCTGTCCCTCAGTCCTGCTCACGCCCTCCACCACGATCGGTTTATGCTTTGGCGTGCTCGGGGCTCGTTAGACAACGCTCCAGGAAGTCGCCGGACCGCTAGGGAGATGCAGGGGTTGATCGTCATTTGGCCGATGCTGCTGTTTTCTGTCAGGTATAGCTAGGACCCCGGTTAATGGTGGCCAGTTAGTGACTGGGTCCCGAAGCCCAAAATATGGATTGGAGTCACTAAACCAGGGTCTGCCGTAGGTAGTGCTTTCCGGGTGACAGCAATTCCGGTTAGTGGAATGGGACGGGGGTGGGGCGTCCCCAGTACAGATCATTAAACCAGATCCCACGGAACCCAGTCCTGCCATCGCCCGATTCTGGGCCACGAGGGTGGCGGTGAGAAAGATCCTACGTTCAGCTCGTGTTCCCCTCCTGAACGCTGCCTGCACTTCAGTCCACGGTGCTCAGAGATGGGGCCCCAAGGACAGGATGCGGATCACACACTGCACATGCAACGCCTGAAGCCTCCGTTCTCAGGGTCCATCCCTCGGGGCCCCCGTCTTTACTCAAGTCGACGGCTCAGAGATGGGGCCCCAAGAATAGGACGTGGGTCACAAACTGAACATGCAACGCCCGAGGCCTCGGTCCTCAGGGCCCATCCCTCGGGGCCCCCGTCTTTGAGCCGCCGGTTGAGGGCTTCCTGCCTCTGCTGTGCTCGGCGGCGAGCGAGGGGAGGAAGCGAGAAGGAGAAGGCCTTCTCAGAAGGCGGCGGGGCTTCTCGGAAGCCCTCGCGCCTTCGGGGAAGGCCTGGGAAACTTCTCTGAGGGCTGGGGAACTCCCGAGCCTTCGCACGAGGCCCTGCCCCATTCGCGCTTGCCCCCCGGCCTCGCCGCCAACCGAGGCCTCAGTTCTCGGCCCCGGTCCCTCGGGGCCCGCGCCTCTGAGTCGCCGACGGGGGGGCTTCCCGCCCGTGCTGTGCGACACCTCGGCCCGACGTGCGCGTGTCCTCTCCGGGGGCCGGGCCGTGGCCGCCACCGGGGCTGCCCCTGAGCACCGTGGCCTCCCCGGAGCCGCGCGCGAGGCTCCGCGCGCCGTGGCCCCTTCGGCATCTCGCGGGGGCTGCCGGGGGCAGTCGAAGAAGAATCGGGAGTGGACAGAACCCCCAACAGTGACACGTCGATTAGTGAATTGTCCGTTTTCGGTTTTCGAGAGGGCGCCGCGGCCGTCATTTTCCAGGCTTGCGCCCGCCAGGTTTGGGCCCGAGGTCGTTTTCACTAAACCACGTTTTACTAAAGGGGGTTCTGTCCATCCCCGAAAGAACAGCAGCGATGGCCGACCCACTGCGAGTTCCCTGGGTGCAGTGGGCACGCCAAGTACGAAATGGGCCTGCCATGGCAAGTCCCCCGGGTGAATCACTGATTCCCCGACGTCCATGGACTTGAAGAAGAACAAACGCTGTAAGCATAAACTGTCGGCGCTCCGCGCGGGCTTCTTGGATCCGCGCTGGGCCTCCCCAGGGCGGCGCCTCCGGCGCCGCCCCTGGCGCGCTCCGCGCGCCAGGGAGGGGGGTGCAGCGCAGATCCGAGAAGTGCGCGCGGAGCCAAAAGAGTCAGTCTGTACCGTTTTGTGTTCCTCTAGACTGGGTTCCATTCGATTCTGTCGATTCCAGTTCCGATTCGATTCGATGCCGGATTCCGATTTAGATTTCGGTTTCTCGATGGAGGCCTTGCTAGCTTGCGGATTTCCGACGATTCGACGTCTCTCGGCTTGGTTGCCGATGTCCGCCGATCCGATTCATTTTGGATCGCCAGTCTGATTTATCGATTCGATTCTGGACTCATGCCAGAGACTTCGAGTTCCGCACGCCGGCACTAGGATTTTGGATGCTTTCGTCGGTTCTCGATGGTTTTCCAGCCTCGGGATTCTGGACCTGCCCAATGGGGTCCGAGTAGATGGGGTCGGTGGATTGCGCCGTATCGCCAACACATCGGCGATGCGGCTCGATGTGGAGCCCGAGTTTCTCCCACAGACGTCGCCGATGCATCGCCGATGTCGCTGGTGCATCGCCCGATGCATCGGCGATGCATTGGCGATGCATCGGCGATGCGGCGCGATGCTCCCAGCCCGCCTACTCCGACCCCAGCTGGCTGGCCTCCCTCGCGTCTTCCCCGGAATGGCAGCCGCTGGGCTGGGCCAGACCGTGCTCGCACGCCCGTCGAAGGACCAGTCCACGCGCCGGTCGCCCAAGCCCTCCGCGTTCTGCCGCGTGGCCACGAGCCGAGGAGGAGCTGCCAGCGTGGCGCCCATGCGGCCGCGCGTGCCCGTGGGGGCCGCAGGACGAGCCCGCGGGGTGCGGCAGGTCCGCACCGTGCCGACGCGGCAGCGACCCCACCCGCGGAGGATCAGCGAGCGAAGGACGGTATAAGATAAACTTTTTCGCTGTCGGGGGCGCCTGTCCCAGGGGTATAAACTTTCCAGCCGCCCTGGGACAGGCGCCCCCGACAGCGAGAAAGTTTATCTTATACCGTTCTTCGCCCGTTGAGAGGTTCAAGGCTGAACGCCGGCGGCGGCCCAGAATCGCCGAGTGCCAGCGTGGAGCGGTATGGCGATCGGAAAGCTTGCCGGGTCCTGCCGCCGTACGATTGTCGCACGTGCCCAGATCTGGAGGGGAAAAAACACACACAGACACATATAATCGTCGATCCCCAGAAAATATGGGAAAATATGGGAAGTGGGGGGGAAGACAGAAACCCAGAAAATATGGCAAAATATGGGGAACATCTTTATTTGTGTGTATGTATTTGCGTGTCCTGGGGCCCCTTCACAATGCCAGCATGGAGCGGTCTGGCGATCGGAACGCCTGCCGGGCCCTGCCGCCGTACGATTGGCGCACCTTGCCAAGAGGACTTCGTCGAGAGCGCGGGGGGCCTCGGAGACTGGCCCCCCCAGCGCGCTCGGCCTGCCCCCCCCCCGCCCCTCCGCGCGCCCGCTCTCGCTCGCGCGGCTGCGGGGCTCTGCCCTGCACCCCCGCGGCGATGCAGTCGGAGCGTTGACCTAAGGAACCCTAAATAAGGAACGAGGCCCCTTGCTTCCACAAGTGAACTTTCCATTTCCGATCGAAAACATAAAAAACAACCGGAGGCAAGCTGTGAAACACTTAAGGAACGCGGAGCCCCTCCCCAACGAGAAGGGTTCCTTCTTCAGGGCCCAGACTGTACAGTGGAGGCCCATGCCAAGAAGCACCCTGCTTGCCTCCAGGGTGCCCCGGGTTTCTTGGGTCTCGATGGCTTTGCCATGGAGAGCGTGGCGCTCCCACACCAGACATCCATGGACGTCCTGGGGTCTCCGGGTTGGGCGTCTTGTGGAAGGCTTCCTGTAGTCGGGCTCCTGCTGTCTGGAAGGCTGAGCCTTCGCCAGAGGGACCTTTGGCGCGGGCCCGCCAGGATTAAGTCGGGCCTGTTCCTCTACAGGGGGAATATCCAAAAATAGTCCAAAAATAGTCTGGGGACTATTTTTGAGTATTTGTTTGGCCATTTTCGAGCATTTTTGGAGTGTGTTTTTCAGTTTTCGTCGAAAAGCCCCCTGTACGGGGACGCGCCCGACTTAACGCCAGGATACCCCCCGCCCGCTGCACGCGACGCGGCAGCATCGGCTTGCGCGCTCGGGCCCGGACGCCCAGGCGCCCCCCGAGGCTGCGCGCCGGAGGCCTCTCTTGCCTGCGGCCACCCCTGCGCGGAGGAGGAGGAGGAGGAGGAGGAGGAGGAGGAGGAGGAGGAGGAGGAGGAAGGGAGGACACAGACACCCCCGTCGCGCGCCTCGGGTCACCACGGCTCTCGCGGCCGCTCGGAACGATACTTGGGCACCCCCGAAGCGCTTTCGGCGAGGCGCAGCCGCTGGAAGACAACATCTCTGGGAACCAACGAAACCTTTGAAAACTTCCAACCTCGACCCCGAAATCTTGACCCTCCTCGAGCGCTGACTTTTTACACTCCGCGCCAGGTCGGCGTACGCATTCCATCCGCCTCCGCAGCCGAAAGTCGTTCTGGACGGTCCCCAGGGCCCAGCGAGGGCCCCCCAGTCAGGGGCAACGATAGGGGGATATGGGCACAGGAGTGGAAGCATCGACCCCCATGGATCGCATAGGACCCGATAGCCCGAACCTGCCCAGGAACGTGCGGATTGTGGATTGACTATCCTCGGCCTACCGCCGATCTATCAGCAATGCATCGCCGATTCTAGGTCGATGTGCCCCCCTTGCCCAGTCCCCTCCCTATCGCTGCCCTTCACCCAGAGGCCGAAGCATTGCCAACGCGTTCAACCCGCCGCCGCAGGCGCCGCCCTTTTTCCGGCCCGCTGCCGCGGCCGCGGCGTTGCTCCTCCGGCCCGGCCCGCCAGCGCCGCTGACCCGCATCGCCCGCCCATCCTCCAGCCGACCTCATGAGGGGATAAAGCATACAGACGCGAATCATCGACGATTCCCCGGAAAATATGGGAAAGTATGGGGATTGGAGGAGGAGGCACGAAATTCGATAAAATAAAAGGAACTATGGGAATCCTGGGATTTCTGTCTAGGCCTCTTAGATGCGGTCCGAGTAGATGGGGTCGGAGGATCGCTCCGCATCGCCGAGGCACCGACGACGCATCGACGATACGGCTCGATGTGGAGACCGTGCTCCCCCTCGCCAATGCCTCGGCGATGCATTGGCGATGCCGCGCGGTCCTTCGATCCCATCTACTCGGACCCCATCCAGGAGGCGTCTGCCGTGTTTACTTCTTTGTGTGCCCCCGTGCCCCTTGAGCTCCTCCAGCCGACCTGCCGCCGGCAGGTCGGCGTACGCGCTCCACCCGCCGCCGGCGCCGCCGCCGCCCGCGCACGCCTTCTCCGGCGGCAGCTCGCTGACGCGCGTGGAGCGGCGGGCGATGCGCGTCGGGGTGTTCCGAGGGCAGGCCCCCGCCGCGGTTCGGCTGCGTCCTCATCCTTCCTCCTCCTCCCTCCTCTTCCCTCCTCCCGCCTCCTCCGTGACAAGCGTCCCCCTCTCCGGCAGCTCCTCTTCGAGGTGCCCACATGATACGATTGCTCAAACGCGGTAACTGTGAGGCTCTCAGGAGAGAGAAGCCTCGTCCACCAAACAGGCACACCGCCTGGGACGTCCCAACAATCTGGCCGCGAGTGGGAGAGTGAAGTACCCTCTGGCGGTTCCCCCTACAGTCAGGTGAATATTGTTGGTAGCGAAGCTTTGAGCGCATATCGACGCACACGCGCGCGCACGCCCTCCGGGTGGGGCTCGAGCTCGGGCTCGGTCTCAAGCTCGCGCTCGGGGCCGGGCTCGCGCTCGCGCTGGGGCTCGCACGTTTGCGCGCGCACGCTCGCGCACGCGCGCGCACGCTCACGCACGGGCGCTCGCGCACGCGCGCGCGCACGCGGACCGTCTCCGTTGGAGGGCGAGACATGGCTACAATGCTAGGACAGGCCTCGCCCGACCCTTTTTTATTTCAAACTCTCGTGTGTGCTGGGTTCTCGTTTTGAACTCGCAGCGCCGCGCTCAACCTCACCTCCTCCCCCTCCTCCGTTTCTCCTCAGTGGCTGCGTCCGCACGGTCACTCGGGTCCGTTTCGGCACACCCCGCACGCGGTTCGTGGTCCTCTACGGAGCTCCACCTAAGGCCCCAGTGGTAGCGTCCGCATGGTTATGTGGGCCCATAGTGCCGCACCCTTTACACGCTGCGTGGCCCCATAGGGAGCTTCCCCCAAGGCCCCAGTGACTGCGTCCGCATGGTTACTCGGGTCCACTCTCGCACACTCCTCACACGGTGCGTGTCCCCATGGCGAGCTTCACCGAAGGCCACAATGGTTGCGTCCGCATGGTTACTCCCGCTCATTCTGTCACACCCCTCGCACGCTGCGCGGCCCCATCGTGAGCTCCACCGAAGGCCCCATGTGGCTGCGTCCGCATGGCTACCTTGGCCCATTCTGGCACACCCTCATACGTTTCGTGGCCCCACAGGGAGCTCATCCCAAGGTCCCAATGGCTGCGTCCGCATGGTGACGCGGGTCCATTTCGGCGCACCCCTCACACGTTTCGCGGCCCCATATACAGAAGGCTTGGGTTCTCCGCCAGGGTAATAGCTTTCAAGCCCTAAACGGGGTGTGGCTCCAGCAGATGCTGCCGTCCAGAAGGGTGGGCTCCAGCATCCAACGTTTACGAGGGACAGTGGATCCAGCAACCCAGGGCGCGGGCTCCGGCACCCACATTCGACGAGGGAACGTCGCTCCGGCAGATAATGCCGTCAAGAAGGCTGGGCTCCAGCAGTTCTTTTTTGCGAAGGGCAGTGGCGCCGGCGGCACGACGCGAGGGCTCCTGCACCATCCTGACGAGGGGAAAGCCGCTCAGATTGCAGCCGGGGCGCTGAAGAAGGAACCCTTCTCGCTGGGGAGGGGCTCGGTGCTCCTTGATTGTTCGACAGTTTGCCTTCTGTTTTCCTGAGGGTTTCCATGGGTTGCCTCAGGTTTTCCTCATGTTTTCGATCGGAAATCGAAGTTCAACTTATGGAAAAAAGGAGCCCCGTTCCTTATCTAGGGTTCCTTAGGCCAACGCCCCGACGGTATGCCGGCAAGACGGGCGGGCTGCCATCCGAAGCGGCAGCCAGGGCGGCGACCCGCGCCCCGGCCACGAGCCCCTCGCAGCCCGTCGAGATGTCACCGGCAAAGCATTCGCCCAGCCGGCCAGTGAGGTGGCTACCGCTGGCAGTGAAAATGTTTAGCGCACGTCGGCATAGCGGAAGCGCACGCGCACGCGCGCGCACGCGCGCACGCCCTCTGGATGGGGCTCAGGCTCGGTCTCGAGCTCCCGCTCGGGGTTGGGTTTGGGACCTGCACCCGCGCCGGAGTATCTGCTCGCACGAACGCGCGCGCGCACGCGCGCACGAGCGCGCACGAACGCGCACGCTCGTCCGCTTAGGCGCACCAGCGCGCGCACGAGCGCGCGCCCGCACGCACGCGCGCGCATGCGGGCTGCATCCGTTCGAGGGCGAGGCGCAGCTACAATGCTAGGACACCCGCCCCTGGGCCCCGTCCCCCTACCGACCTCATTTACTGTGGTGGCCCATGCCAAGAAGCACCCTGCTTGCCTCCAGGGTGCCCTGGGTTTCTTGGGTTTAGATGGTTTCGCAACGGAGAGCGCGACGTTCCCACACCTGAAATTAATGGACGTCCTGTGGTCTCAGGGCTGGGTAAGGTGTCTGGCGGACTGGCCCCCACCGCATATTCTTAAAGCCCTGAACGGGGCGTGGGCCCAGTGCTCAATTTGTACGAGGGAGCAGATGATGTAGTTAAAAGGGGCGGATTCTAGCACCAAGTTATTGCGAGAGACAGTGGTTCCGGCAACCCACAGCATAAGCTCCAGCGCTCAATTTCCTTACACCTGCACCGTCCGCCTCCTGCGGAAGATGCGGAGGGTGCGGAAGGTGATATGATTGTGTGTGTGTGTGTGTGTCCGTGGATGTCTTCGGATGTCTTGGATGTCTTTGAATGCCTGTTGATGACTTTGCTCATGCTCGTAACTTGCGCAATTCGGTAGATTGACTCTGCGTTGTTGTTTGCGTTCCTGGGCGCTCGTTTGTCGATGACAAGGCGTTCCTGGCGATGCTGCTGTTGATGCTGCTGGTTGTGTAAGAGATGGTGGTGGTGATGTTATGTTGCTGCTGGGTTGTAGGGTTGTGCGATGTGGGCGGTGATGAGAATGATGGTGGTGATGGTGATCTTGGACATTGTGTTCGTTGGCGAACGGGGATGCCGACAATGATGGGGATGATGTTGGTGATGATGTTAATGACGATTGATGGGGATCGTAAAATGGGGATGGGCGAGATGCGATGGTGATCGCGATGATGACATGTACTGGCGATGAAGGTGATGAGGTGATAACGATGATGCCGATGATCATGGTGTTGCTGATGATGACGATGTTGAAAGTTATGAACTTGAAGGATGACGGTGAGATGTGTCTCAGCCAGGGGGTCCCAGAGCTACCCCAGGCAGTGCAAGGATACCAGCATGGCCCTAACACAGACCCAGGCTTCCAATGCGCCGTGCCCCCTCCCCCCCCCGAGAGGGCCATGATATTCAGATAGCCCCAGTATTATCCGGCGCAGGCGCCGAGGAGACCCCTCCATCTATTGCATCCTCCCACCTCCTTCTCATCCCCTTCTCGTTGTCGTCGTCCTCGTGCGCGTCCTCCTGCTCGCTCGCCCTCACCTTCTCGCCCCTGCCCTCATCGCCTTTCCTCTTCCTCTCGCCCCTCGCTCGCGCGGGGCCCAGATGTGTACCCGCAGGTTTTTCCATGGCAGCCTGGCAGTCATCCCCTCCCCGTCCCAAGGAGCTCGCAGCTCGCCCTCGTTGCCCGCTTTGTTTTGCCATAGGTGTCTCGTCATCCCTTCTCCTTGTTCAGCCGCGTCCGCGTTGTCCTGATCGGGTCAACTCTCCAGCGCATCGTTTCTGGATGGGCTGATGGAGATACTTGTTCGTCGCGGCCGCAGGCGAGCGCGCCAGCAGCGTCAGAGGTCGGGCAGGCTACGCGCGAACCGAATTGCCTACCGCATGGGGAACGACGGCCGAACCTAAGCTGCCTACGCTGCCGGGCTGCGCGAGGTGGTGCCAGGAAGCGGGGCAGGGCCCGAAAGGTTTATGGAGATACGCGGAGCGTCAAGGATTAGCTTCATTGTGTCCCAGCGCTCGCGAGTCGACCGAAATGTGCGCTCGCGACTCCGCCGGGTGAACTGCGCATTGTCCCCCCCGCCCCCCCCTCCGCGGAGTCAAGTATAGTGCAGGTGATCGGCATTTCCGTGTTTGGGCTTCCGAACTTCAGGCGCGTGGTCGGCGCGTTTGTGTTTTGGCGCCTGGCTCTAGGGCGCGCGGCCTGCGCGCCTTTTGTCGCCGCGCCTGAATTCTGGCACCCCGAAGCTCGGACAGACGGTCGGCGCGTCCTAGCTTGTTCCCCAAAGCCTAAGATTCGGCGGCGAGCCCAGGGGGGAAGTAAAAAGGAGAAGGCTTTCTTAGAAGGCTCGGAAGTCCCCCGGCCTTCTGAAAAGTGTTGTACGCCTTGCCTGAAGACACAAAAAACTTCTCAGAAGGCGCGAGGCCTTCTGAGAAGTCCCGCCGCCTTCTGAGAAGGCCTTCTCCTTCGCACTCCCCCCCACCCTCGCTCGCCGCCGACTAAGGTATGTTTCAGTGCAGGAAAAAACCAGGACGAGAGACAGCTCCGATATTGACAGAATGGTCTCCAAATTCAGACACGCCGACCACATCGATTCTTTGTGGGACCTCAGGGCTAATGCGGGAGGCTGGCTCGAAACTAGAGGTGTCTGAGTCATGGTGGCCCAGCCTCAAACTCGACCGCCGATCAACTGTGATGTGCTGCCCCCCGAAATGGGGACATGCAGCAATTTCGGTTGCCAAAATTTTGCCACGCCTATCGGATGTCTTAGGGGGGCCTCCGGGACTAGATAGGCAACATATTTGGTTGCCAAGCCTAGGACAAGCCGGCAATCAAATCTGTGTTCTATTTGTTGACACCGACAACAAGGCATGCCGTAGTTTCCGGTTATGCAACATAAGGCGCGTGTGATCTGCCAGTGAAGAAAACATTTAAGTTCTTGATGTCTGGCCCTAGGAACAACGCAGCGCCAGCCGCGCGTGTTGGTTTCTCAGAACTCTGGAATGCTTGAGCTTCCGCTGCGAAAAGTGAGACATGCAGTAGGGTTAGCTAGCAAAGCACCTTCGCCCTTCATCCTCAGCCTTTTGCACGACGACCCCATCCTTCGACGCCTCGCAGAGGCCTTCGGCAACGTGGAGGGCTTTGACAGCAGGGCCCTCGCGGCTCCTGGCCGCCTGAGCGCCGCGGCCCCGGCGACGGCGTATGGGCAGACGGCCTCCGCGCTGGGCGGCGAGATGGACGTCCAGGCGCCTGCCACCGTCGCGCGTGGCAGCCCCTCGCGCCCGCCGTGATCGCACCCCGCCCCGCCCGCTCCAGGATCGAGAGCTCGAGGACGGAGGGTCCAACGTCGGGCCCCGCTGCGCTCTCTGGGGGGCGGCCTCCCGGGGGCGCTCCTCGCTGCCGATGCTGCGCCCGCTTCGAGGATCTGGCCAGAGCATGCCCTGGAACAGGCCAGGGATCGATGCTTCACCCCCCCAAGGCCGGGGCACGCGCGCCGCGGTGGACAAAATCACGGCGGGGGAGGCTCTCTGGCCGCGTTCGGCCTCCGGAGGCCCTCGCCTGGCCCCAGTCAGGAGGGGAACAAAACACACACAGACACAACGAATCGTCGATCCCGAAGAAAATATGGGAAAATATGGGAATTGGGCGGGAAAACAAAAACCCAGAAAATATTGGAAAATATGGGGATTCATTTTATTTGTGTGTATTTATGTGTGTGTCCTGGGGCCCCTTCACCCAGGGCCGTGAAACAAGCGCTCGGGGTAAAACAAAAGACCGCCGCGGCCTCGTCTGCTGCCGGGCGAGCGAACGGAGGCCGACCTGGCGGACGGTTCTTTCCGGGTGGCCTCGGGAGGAGGAGGAGGAGGAGGAGGAGGAGGAGGAGGAGGAGGAGGAGGGGGAGGGGGAGGGGAGGAGGAGGATGAGGAGGAGGAGGAGGAGGAGGAGGAGGAGGAGGAGGAGGAGGGAGGAGGAGGAGGAGGGGGAGGAGGACGTTCTCGGCAAGCAACTGAGTGTCTGCGACCACTTGTGACCCCTGACCCTACGGGTCCCGTCGACGCTGGGGTATCTGACACCCCCGTTGGGGTCCACCTGGCTGCGGACATCCTTCACATTCTGACCTTCAGCCAGTTTTCGGACATCTGGCCTGCAGGGGCAGGGCTCACATGCGATTGTTTGTGATATAGGAGCGCGAGGGATCTTCTGCGCTATTTTGGAGCGGTTGGGCCCGTGGTGGCAGTTGTGGCCACACATTGGAGGCGCCTGCGTCAACACGAATGTCTCCCCGCCTCGCACCTGTCATGGCAGCAAGCCCGGGCAGACAGAGTGTTGTCTCGGGTTGTCACTCTCCTGAGAGCAGAGAGAGAGGGGGGAAGTAGTTTGTTACGTAAGTACGTTCAAGTGTGTACACACATGGATAAACAGATATAGCGAGAGAGAGAGAGAGACATGTGTGTGCGTGCGTAAGTTTGCCACCTAGACACTGATGTCACATATGCATGTCTATACAACTGAAGAACATGAGCGACAAACAGAGGGACAGGGACAGAGTCGAAGGGTGGAGGTCTTGAACGGCGCCCCTTCCCTGCTTCCCCCTTCCGCCCTCCTCCCGCCGTCTCCCCTTCCAGTTCACTCCCGTATCTCTGGAGGCCCATGCCAAGAAGCACCCTGCTTGCCTCCAGGGTATCCTAGGCTTCGATGGTTTTGCGATGGAGAGCGCGACCTTCCCGCGCCAAACATCCATGGGCCAGGGACGTCCTGGGGTCTCAGGGTTGGGCTTCTCGTGGAAGGTTTCTCGTGGTCGGGCCCCTTCTGTATCTCCCCTGCACCCCCACCCCCCCTGTCATCCCCCACTCCCTCCCCGACGGTCTGTTCGTGTTGTGCCGACGCGGCAGCGACCTCACCGCGGGCGCAAGGTTGAATGCCGCCAGGGGAACGATTTGGGGATCAAGAAGACGCCGATCGGTCAAGGCCAAACATCGACGCAGTGTCAGAAGCCAACGATTGGGTCGTCACGACACGAACCTGCCGTATCCTCCTCATCCCCTCTCCCGTCCACCCCCTTTTTACAACTATGGATTCATTCTGAATGCTGCTTTCCTCTCTCATCCTGTCAGCGTGCTATTCGCGCTTCCGCACACTGGCTTTTTGCGAAAACGATTCCCAGCGCAGGTTGTTTGATGCTGTGCGACTTCTGAGTTTTTATTTGGTATCGGAAGGTCCCCAGTCCTTCGAAAAGGTGATCCCCCGCTGCAGCGCCGCCCGCTTTCCTGTGCTCTGCCCCCGTCGTCCAGAGTGGTGAAACGTCGCTCCCGCACGGGCCGCATTCTTGGATCCGTTCCGTTCCTCTTGTCGTTGCCAGCCCCCTCCTGCGCCCTCCCCCTGCTCCTTCTGCCCCCGTGCTCCACTGACACCTCCTCCTCCTCCTCAATCTCCTCCTCCTGACCCTCCTCCGCTGCTCCTCCTGCTGTTCCTCCTCCTCCTCCTCCTCCGGTGTACGGGCCTCCCCCCCCACCTTGCCGCTTGCACCGCAGACGGTAGTTGAACAGGATGGGAAGGGATGGGCGGGAGGAGCGGGACGTCAGATGCACGCTGGACCAGAACGCTGTTCTGCTGGACTTCGGCTGTGCTTTGTCTTCCGTTGTGGCAGGGACGCGCGGCAAGAAACCATCAGCCAGGGCGCGAGCCAAACGTTGCTCCTATTTCTGCGTGCCGCTTTCGTTCCCCCATCTTGGTTTCGGGTGCCATGGCGCGGCCGTTTTGCTCTCGTGTTCGCGGGCAACGGTTTGGAACGAAACGGGTTCTTCGGGGGATGGCGCCGTTGTCGCATGTCATTGTTTACAACGCAAGCGTTGTTCGAACAAGAACGAAGTTTTGTTGGCGCCCTGCCATAAGCGTTTCGTCAGGGCACCTCGGGTGTCTTCGTTTCGTGCGCTGCCCGGTGACTTCCGCGGCCGTTGAGGAGCTGATGCGCTCGGGATGCTCTGGGTTTCCTCCCAATTGCGCCTCGCGCGCGCGGATTTTCAGAGATGGGCCTCTTGCGAGGGATCCCTGCTGCCGCGGCCTCGTCCGCGCTGTAGCTTGCCCCTCTCATCTCCCCTCACCCCCCTTAGCTCATTTCGATTCCTCCGACTCGATTCCTTTTGATGTCGATCGATCCCGAATCCGATTCGATTCGATTTCGGATTAAGATTCGGAGATCGGCTTCTCGATGCAGGCCTCACTGGCCTGCCTGCTTCTGCCGATCCGACCTCTCCCGACCCGGCTGCCGACTTTCGCCAGTCCGACTCCTTTCGATCGCCAATCCGACCGATGGACTCGACTCTGGGCTCTCCTGCTGATTCACATCGTCCCGCCCGCTCTCCCCGCCCCTCCTCCCGTCTCCCCTCCTCCTCCTCCTCCTCCTCCTCCTCCTCCTCCTCCTCCTCCTGGGACGTCGTCCTGGGGGGAAAGTCGGGGAAAGTCCTCCTCCTCCTCCTCCTCCTCCTCCTCCTCCTCCTCCCTCCTCCTTCTCCCCCTCCTCTCCCCTTTTGCGCTCGCGCTGTCGAGGGCACGAGCGCAGGCATGCCGACGATCACTCTTGCAACAGGGGGATCGTGGTCGGTGGGCTTGTGCCGGGGTAGTCAGCTGTGCCGAGGAAGCGTGCATTTTGGTGTGCGTGCGGTATTTGTCCGTCCTCTCCCTCGCCCCGTTTTTCTATAGATGCAGGCGTGTCCGTTCTCATCTTGGGAGTTCGGGCTTGACCCTAGTGCGGTGTGCCTCCAGGTCGTCGCAGCAGCAACGTCGCCATCCGCCCCGACGACGCAAGACCCGCTCACGGCAGAGCAGAAGCTGGACCCGCCCCGTGGTGCCTGTTAGTTGACAGAGCAGGCAGACGCCGCAGACGATGCGGAGATGGGAAAATTGTCGGGAAGAGGCAGGTTGGCGACTTTTGGATTCTCCGGTTGCTTGTAGAAACACAAGAGCATCAGGAGTCTACCATTAAGGCGTTGGCTTCGCGGTGCATCTATATATATATATATATATATATATCCACACATGGCATGCACATACATTACATGTATGTAACAATTTATGTGTTTGGGGTCCTTCTGAAGCTCTTTCTTTGGGGGCGCTAGGGCCATCTTGCAACCATCGATCAAAAAATGACGGTACTCAGTAAGCGTCCCCCTGCCGGAGGCTGCAACATTGCCCTTCGGACCTCTCTCGGCGTGCACTTGAGAATATTGGGGAGATCTTCGGGCTTCAGAAGCGCAGCAGACGCGAAAAGGCGTGACGCTCAAATCACTGACAACTGATTCAGATGTTTGAAAGAGCGTGTTCTACCGCTGCTGGCGGAAAACCGGGGGGGGTCACTGCCGGTTCGAACCCCTCCCCCCCCCCCCCCTCCGGAAAACCGGGGGGGTCACTACCGGTTCGAACCCTCCCCCCCCCCCAGTTCATCATGAAAAGGGGGGGGGTCACTACCGGTTCGAACCCCCCCCCCCTCGAAAGCCGGGGGGGGTCACTACCGGTTCGACCCCCCCCCCCTCCCCCTCGAAAACCGAGTGGGGGTGCGGACAGTGGTGGGGACGGTGTTGGCGGGGACAGTGGCGAGGGGACAGCGGGACAGTGGTGGGGACAGTGGGACAGTGGTGGGGACGGTAGTGGTGGGGACAATGGTGGTAACAGGGGGGACAGTGGACAGTGGTGGGGACGGTGGTGGTGGGGACAGTGGTGTGGGGACAGTGGGAATGAGGTGGAAACTGTGGGACAGTGGAGGGTACAATGGTGGTGGGGATATTGGTGAAGGCGGTGGCGAGGACGGCGGTGGGACAATGGGACAGAAGTACAGTGGGGACAGTGGTGGGGACAGTGGGGACAGTGGTGGGGACAGTGGGACAGCTCAGTGGGGCAGCGGAGGAGTCAGTGGGACAGTGGGGACAGTGGGGATAGTCGGGCAGTGGTTGGGGCCGTGGAGACAGTGGAGAGAGTGGAACCGTGGTGGGAACAGTGGCGGGGACAGTGGCACAGTGGGGACAGTGCGACAGTGGTGGGGGCACTGGTGGGGACAGTAGGGACGGTGGTGGAATCAGTGGGGACAGCGGTGGTGAGGACACTGGTGCTGGGAACAACAGTGGGGGATGTGATGCGGACGGTGGTAGGGACTGGGAGTCGTTCGCTGGCGGTGCGTGGGAGGGGGGGATGGGGTCAAACCGGTAGTGACCCCCCTCCGGTTTTCGAAGGGGGGGGGGGTTCGAACCGGTAGTGACCCCCCCTGGTTTTCCGGATCCGGAAAGGGAGGGGGGGGGAGGGGTTCGAACCGGTAGTGACCCCCCCCAGTTTTCGAAAGGGAGAGGGGGGGGGGGAAGGGGTTAGGGGAGGGGGGGAGGGTTTTGCCAGGGGAGGGGGGGGGTCCAGCAGGGGGGGGGGGGAGATTTTCGGAGGGGGGGGGAACCCCGGGCTCCGGAGGAAAAGGTTGGCAATTTTCCACAGTCAAGCGGCGGTGGATCACGCTCTCTCAGATGTTTGAATGACCTTGCCCTCTTGGGCGCCTCGTTGGGAGGCGTCGAAGCCCCTTGGGATCGTCATGGAGGTCATCGAGGCATCTCATGGCCTCATGGAGACACGCTGGTTCAACTTGTGCTGTCTCGCGCCATCTTGGCAGCCACCTTGGGGAATCTGGAACCACACTAGGGCCGTATCGAACGCGGCGGGGCCCTGTAACTCCTCGCGGGAGGGGGTTCGGGTCGTCATCATCAGCACCCGCATCATCATCAGCAGCATCACCATCATCATCATCAGCATCATCATCATCAGTATCATCATCCTCCTCGCCCTCGTCCTCATCAGCGGAACCAGCAGCATCCACATCATCATCCTCATCCTCAGCAGCATCACCATCCTCATCCTCATCAGCATAATCGTCATGATCGTTATCATCATCAGTAGCATCATCGTCATCATCATCCTCTTCCCCCCAGTCTTCCCCCTCCTCCCCCTGGGTCTAGACCCAAAGGGGGGAAGTGGGGGGAGGGTTCAGGATGCAAACAGCTGCAGGCAGCCTCTCTCACTCCCGCACGCCCTGCCAGCACACATGTAAACAGCACCCGAGGCTCAGACCATGGGCAGTGGTCGCCACGTGGACAGCGGGCAGTAGCCATCCAATAATTACAACATAACAACAACAACGACAACACCGACAAGAACGACAACGCCAACACCAACAACACCAACACCAACAACAACAGCAACAGCAACTGCAACAACAACACCAACCACAACAGTAGCAGCAGCAGCAACAACACCGACAACAACAACAGCAACAACAACAACCAACACCAACACTCATGTTAAGGCAGTTCGATATTATCTGCTAGCGTGCCATTCGTATCCCAAACCGTCGATACCCACTCGCTTCGTCTTCGATCGTATCCCCTTGGGGGGTATATCTTACTTACCTGCAACGTGCATTTGGTGCAGCACCTAGGGCAGGATAAGAGAGGACGGATGGAAGGAAAGGACAAGGGGGAGAGAGGAGGATGGAGCGCGAGAGAGAGACAGAGAGAGTAGCAGGAGGGGGCTAGGAACAGAAAACACGTGGCAGAACCAGACGGGCAGATCGGACGGGTAGACCCTGACGGGCGGGCCCAGGCGGCCACGACGAGCAGTCGGGTTGCTGAAGCATCCGTCCTGCATGAATCGCGAGGAAGCCTTGAGCGACCGCGCGATTCCAAAATAAATCTCGTGAGACATCCTAAGCGGGGGCGAGATTCATGAGTGTCGAGGGCACGGCGCCTGAATCAATTGCGAGGAAGTCTCAAGCGACAGCGCCATTTCTGAGTGCCGAAAGCGCGACGCCTGAATAGACTGCGAGGGGTTATCAGGGGAGAGCGCAATTCTCGTATAAATTGCCAGGACATCCCTAGCAAGAGCGCGATCCTTCAGTAAATTGCAAGGAAGTTTCAGGCGGGAGCCGCTGTTTTTGTAAACCGGGGGCCAGGGGCACAGTTTGAGCAGGAAGATTTTCACCAAAAGAAACAGCAGGCCCAGGGAGGGGCACTTCAATTGAAAAACACGCCTGTTACGCGAATGCGTAAGTATGGCACAATTCGCCAGGAAGTGTCGGGCGAGAGTGCGATCCTTGAGTAAGTGATGAGGCAGTCCCAGGCGAGAGCGCGATTCCTGAATGGCGAGGGCGTGGCGCTTGAATAAATCGCGAGACAATCCCCCGCGAGACCTCGATTCTTGGACAAATCGCAAGGAAGTCCCAAGCGAGAGCGCGATTCCTGTGTAAATTGCCAGGAAGTTTCAGGCGGGAGTCACTGTTGTTGTAAACCGGGGGCCAGGGGCACAGTTTGAGCAGGAAGATTTTCTCTGGAAAAACAGGGCGCGAATTGAAAAACACATGTTACCGGAGGGGGGGTCAACAACGATTATTTTTCATGTTGTGGTTATTACAGTAATGAGTAACAACAATCACGATTTCGAAGGCCTTACGGACGAAGCTGCCGACCCTGAAGTTGGGGAGGATGGCGCGGAGCATGGGGAGGAAAATGAAAAGGGGGACAGGAGGAACAGGTGGATAAGGAGGAGTAGGAGCACAAAGGGGGAATGAATAGGAGGAGAGTGAGGCGAGCATCGCGGGGTGGGCACGAAGGAAGGGCAGGGGCGAGTACAGCGTGGCGATCAGGAGGGGGAGAAGAGGGTGATAATAGCGAGGATGTTGGCGATGTTGACGACGACGTCGGTTGCCCATCAGATCAGGACCATTCGGGGCGTCTTGGGGCCCTCCTGGGGTGACTTCCAGGCTTCGTTCGCTGTTTCGGAGCTCGCTTCGGCATCTTGGGCATCTGAAACAACGGAGGTGTAGTTTGATTTGGAGGGCGCTGAGGCCGGGGCCTGGGCCAGGGCCGGGGCCGGAGCGGGCCGGGAGCCACGGCCAGCCCAGACGCTCAGATTCTTCAGAACATAAAAGATTTTAAATCATATACAAGGGAAGACGTGCACAACACATGTTTAGAAAACAGAATGTCAAGAATTATGTGAATTCCGTCTTGTAAAGAATGCGTCTCTTTCAAAAATAGCGCGCGCATGTTTAACCATTATTGATGTCATTTGTATTAGTGGTTTCAAGACGTTCTTCTCTAGAAGTATTGATCGTATTGTTTGTGTTTGCGCTGGCGACTATTTTACAATATGACATCAGACGCGTTGGGTGTTTGATGAATGTAACGCTGGCCACGTTCCACGCTCGTTGAACGCAGTGGTCTTGCCCCAGCGTTGGCTTACCTCCCAGCAAGGACTTCTGCGATTTTCGGACGTCCGACCAATCCAAAAAAACGCTCCCGAACCGTAGAATCCAAGAACTCCAACCCCAGGACACAAGTGGCTCAAGGGATCCCCCCAAACCAAACTCGTTTCCGCCGCCATCAGTACCGCAGCTGTTTTGACCATCGGCATGTTTTCGAGCATGTCGGCCAAACGCAACAAGGGCACCGACCCACCGAACTCGGACCTCTTTTCTGACCACGTGCAAGTATCCAGTTGCAAACCTGGCGCGTTGTGGCACGTGGAGAGGGCAACCAAGCAAGGCTCGACGAGTGCATGGTGATCGGTGGCAAAGACTTTCAACATCACCAATGGTCTAGTGGATAGATATGGTGGACTTGTGCCAATTCAAAGTAAACTGCGAACGCTATGTGCGCTTGTGTGACTACGAACACCATGACTTGGTGCTGCACTGATTCTGTTCGAGATGCGGATGTCCCTGCAGAACATCGCTCGCACCACTAAGCGAGCCCTGCAAGGGCACGACCAGCTACATATGAGCATCGACAAGATGGCCCGCGTGAAGA